ATTAAAAACACTTTACATGAATAGTAGATTGACTTGTGTAAGGCTTATACCCCATAGAGGAGCGGCCAGAGTACAGGGTATAAGCACAGCGACAAAGTAGCGAACAACAATGACAAAGTGAAGCGGAGCAACAGCGCAGAGCAGCAGCAAAGAGCAACGGCAGAGAACAACGACAATACGGATAGCAGCGCTCAGCAACAGCACAAACGACCACAGCGTTTAACAACTACAACGACAAGACGAAGAACGGCATCCAGCGAAGACACAGACAACCGAAAGAGGATTAACAGCGACCAACACAAGCAAAGCGAGCGCATAGAAGCAATACATATCAGCGCACATCGGAGAGGGAGCGCAGAGCAAAGAAAGCATAGAAGTGAGCGCATAACAGCGCACAGCCGAGAGCGCAGCTGCGGCGTACAGTAGCAGTGTTGCCAGCTTAGCCTATTTAAGGCTAGATCAAATCATACATACATATATATTCTTGAGCAGCGTTATGAAGTAATCCGATTTAACTACGTATGTGTGTTGTTTGTCTATATATCTATTCGTATGTCTGTCTGTATATCTGGCTCTCTGTCTCTACTCTCTCCCTGTGCATCTCACAGTCTGTCTCTCCGTAAGATCGTTTAAGTTGTCTATATTTATGCAGGAGTATTCAGTGGGCATTTATATTTGAGTAAAACGAAGCTAGATTGCAGCAGCAGAGAGTATTCCCATTGGTCACTCGAACGACCACGACCTCTACCTGTCATCGGGCTCAACATTTGAGCGCAACTTCGGCTTTAAGTGAGTCCCCGTATATAAAGGGCAGCAACTGCAGCATTTCTTCAGTCGCCCAGGCCTGGTGGGGGTCAGTCGTGCAGTGAAGTAAGGTAAAGTGAAGTTATGTGAAGTGTGTACAAATACATATTTAGTGATCGCTAAGCTAAGCGTTAATGACCTAGGGAAAATCCATGGAGGAGGAACTTAGTAGAAATTCCTGGAGGAAATACTTAGAAGAATTTTTCGAGGAAATTCTTGGGCAATACTTGGAAATACTAGTGGGCACCGCCTCGTCGCCAATAGCTGGATCCTAGAGCAAAGCTGCGGTTGGTTAGTTGCTAATGTTATCGTAGATTGTGCGAGCAGGGATAGGATAGAACAGTTAATTAAAAATGAATTAAACTAATTAATTAATTAAAAAATATCGATACCTTTTCGGGCATTGGCGTTTTCTAATTTAGTTATATAGATACGCTTGTTCTAGACATTGGTTTAATACAGATTTCATAATATATTTATATTACAATGACGAACATTGTACATTATAATGGGCAATATAAAATAATGAATGAATGAATAGACAACTAACTAGAATAATGTTAAATTTATATAAGTTATGTATGTTTCAATATTATATGTATGAATTAATATATACTGATATATGATTATTTATATACTATTCTATGTATACGCTCCAAGCATATATACTTACCTATATACATATGGTATGTACATATACATATGTAAAACAAGCAAATGTATTTATATATATATTTTATTTGGCTAATGCTCTTTTTTATTTCATAACAAAGAATAGCATAGAAAAACGGTTAGCATTGGAAATGTCACAATTGCTCAAATTGAAAGCTAATCGGGCTATAGTATTAAGTCCGCATCAGAAACCTAGCAACACACTCAGCCAAAGTGCGGTTAACGTCCGATTGCTGTCTGGCTGCCATGGCAGGAAGGTTCTCAAAATTGGCCTAGATGATAGCTCTAAATATTAATTTGACTGAAGGCACGTCTGTATTTCGATGATTGCAACTAAAGTCAACTGCAATTAGTAAATTCGAGTATCAAAGTTTTCGCAAAATCTTTATTCGCATTGTGCGCCCCTTTCAAGTAGATCATGAATTGAGCTTATTGCATCGCCAGAAGCACTTCACTCGATTGCGAAAGTTTCTGTGCCCTAACACCGAGAAGCCATTTAATAAATTGAACTACATTTTGTCACAGCATTTTTTGGTAGTTCGAATTGCATTTGTATGAATGCGAGCAAAATAATGCGAAATTCGTGAACAAATATTGTCTATTTACAGGTTTTATTTTCTTTCACTTTGAAATTGAATTTGCTTCGTCTCTTTTAGACGTAATTGAGTTCAAAGGACAGCAAAAATTACATTATAGCAAATTAAATACCTCACAACATTTCTTTAATAGTAATGCCATTTAAAGTAATAAAAACATACATGTACATATGTATTTGCATTCTCTTTCTTTAATAACTTATAGAAATTATCGAAATCGCAGTAACAGTGATGGTAGTATGTATTGGCCATCACTAATTCTAGCTTTGCTTAGATCCCGTTCACTTTTACATGTGTTTTTGTTTTGCTTTCTTTTAGTTTCGCCTCTTGTGTTAATTAGAAAAATTATAAGGGTATGTTGCTTAAGAGATTATTATATTATGGTTAATATATTTAATGTTCTACACATTGTTTCGCAATATGATCAAACACTAAACGTAACTATAAATTTGTTATTACAAAATCGAATATAAAATCGGCACTTCATGCGCTCTCGCTTTTGTTTACCATTAAACGGCTGATAGTTATTGAAGCGTTGCCACCTTGTTTCAATTTAAAAGTATGTCATATTCTTTCTTGTTTATTGTAATACAATTTTATTTGTGCAGATTAAGACTAAAAATACAATGGATGATGATACGAGCAATTGCGAGGACATCAATAATACCAGCACGGAATCTTTCGCTACAGCTGATAGTTGGGAGCGAAAGTCTGTTAAAACAAAAAGTCTGCAGCCGCACGAATTGTTGTCACTGGATCATAAATTGAACCGCATTGTTGTAATCCAGCAAACGGACCAGTCCTATCATCAGGCGTTAAAAGACATACGCGACCAGACTATAATTTCGGTATTGGTGGAGCCCAGTTTCTATGGCCGACACTGTAAAACATCTGTGATTGTGATTGCCACGGCGAATAACACTTATGTATTTGATCTGAAAGCCCTTGGTGTCATTTTTCCCGAACTGTGTGTTCTGCTGGAAGCGGAATATCCTAGGAAGATATTGCACTACAGTCATCGAATATGTGATCTTCTGTTTCATCAGCATAAACTAATAATAAATGGAGTTAGTGACACGTTCGTTGCCTTGTGCGTCGCTCGACAGGATCGTAGCCATTGCACATTGCAGGATGCCATTACGATAGTTTTGGAAATATCGCCAAATGAGCTAACCTGTCATGAAATAACGAGCGTAAGACCTATAATTGTGATTCTTTACATTTTAATAAAAATATCTTATTTTTAATGCAGGCTAACGAATCAGTTCGGAACTTTACAGCACGTCCGCTGTCCAAGAGCCAACTCCGGTATTTGGCTAAACTCGCAATATTACAACATAAGCTACACGACACGCTTATCTATGGAAATATTTGCAGCGATCTTCTAGAAATGTCAGGAAAATTCAGCTGTGAATTTAACAAACAAACAAAATCCGATGAAGTGGCRATGAAAATGCATCCAGGCAGCACTACTGGCTTTGACTGCATAAATCCATACTACCAAATATCTACATCTATAGAGTAGGTTCTATTATATTCGTATTTGTATGAAGCTGACACATGCATGCTGATCACATTCCTTATAGTTAAAAGAATATAATCAATTATGTGCTGGGCTATTCTTAATAGAACCAGTAAGAAAGCAATTGTCGAGAGTGCACGACTAGGAGATCCCCTGAACTCTACAATGTCCTAAAAATAAATACAAATCAATTATACGCTGATTTCCTATTTTCAATGAGTTCAGGTAATAAAACTTGATTGTTATTGCGATAATACATTAATAATTAACGAATAATAATATAGTGTTTTATTGAACTGAAATATGTAGGTATTTAAAATATTCCACTTAAGACATTATGAATTTCATAAGAGTTAATGTAATTTAATTGTTTCGATGGAGATTCTTAATACATTAATTTGTAATATCTAATTTAGTTGCACAAGCCTTAATCAGCATTGTTTATATTTTTATTAAAATACTAAAACGGTTAAATTTAAATCGAACGAGTAAATTGTATCGCCGATAGAACGATACATCGCACACCCACCAAGCATCGATACACAGTATGGGACGGTTGTGTATCACTATTACGAACAACCGCGACCGGTCCGCACGTGTAGTGAATCTTCACTTACAGTTATCAATTAAGTTTAAAGATATTTAAAGCAGTCCAGTTTTGCATTTAATAACATAAAAAATGGTGAGTACATTGCTAAGTTTGATTTGATTCTGTTTACCGGCTGTGGAAATCACAAAAACCCATTTGCGCTTCTCGAAGTTTCTACATATGCTGATAACTCATTCGCCTTGCCGGGTTGTTGTGTAACTCTGCTCTGTCGCAGCTTTTGGGCACCAGGGGGGGATATTGTCTGACATCAATTACCATAGATTGCTCAGTAAATGAAATTATTTATAAATGTTTTTAGGCAGCCGCAATCAAGAAAATCATCCCCATGCTGGATCGTATTTTGATTCAACGCGCGGAAGCTCTTACCAAAACGAAAGGTGGCATTGTCTTGCCTGAAAAATCGGTGGGCAAAGTGCTAGAGGGCACTGTAATTGCCGTTGGTCCCGGCACTCGCAATACTGTAAGTATTTCATTGTTGGGTGCGATGATTACAACAGTTTTTCATTAATGATCAACTTTGAATTTTTTATAGACCACTGGCAGTCATATTCCAATTGGAGTGAAGGAAGGTGACCGCGTTTTGCTGCCTGAATTTGGTGGCACCAAGGTCCAATTGGATAGCGACGACAAGAAAGAGCTGTTCCTCTTCCGCGAATCGGATATTTTGGCTAAGTTGGAATAGATGACCCGTAACAATTCTATGAATTCTGTTTTCTATTAGTACGTAATTACCTACAATAAAAGTCCTATGCAATGTTTATGTTTGCATAACATACAAAAAATAAAGCTTGAGAACTTCAGTGTTAACATATAAAAACTATATTTGCATCTAGATACTTAAAAACTAATCCAGTTTCAGGTTATTCAATCCATAGACCTGATTAAAGGCCGACCTTCGTTTAATGTCGGGGTAGCCTTCGACAGCAGCACGTTCTCGTGAAATATTGACCAATGCCTCAAATGAGCGTGGCTCCCAAATTGCCAATTCCGACAATATTTTTCTATAAATTAAGATTTGAAACTATTAATAATCAGGCAAATGATGCATTAACCGGCAACTGACTTGTTCAGCAAGATATCAGAGCGTGCAAGGCCCTCCTTGAAGGCATCTAAAGAAACTCCATACTGTTGGCAACCGGCTTCAACACGCGTTGTCCACAGCTGTGCCATATCCAGTTTCTTGAGTTTACGTCCCTTGGTTGCGTAGGCGAGGGCACGATGTACGCTGCGTATGGCAAAGGTGTAAACATTCCGTGTTCGACTGCGATAATGCTAATTAACAAGAGGATAGATAACTAGTTAAAATAACGTTATTAAATAGTATTCTTATACTTACCGCAGCGAGCTTAAAAATACGCCGTTTTCGCCAGAATTCATCGGGGCCACGGGCCCTTACCATCAAAGGAAGATTCAAGAATACCATAGCAATGTCTTATTAACAAGAAGTGCAGCAATCCTTTATATTTTCATTAACAATTCTATAAATTTACATAACCTGCACACATCAGTTTATCGCAATGATGTTTTGCACGCGCAGCTGACGACCGATACATTATACATCGCATTCTTAACTATCGATGACAACTATCAAGCCATTGAATAATCAAAGAAGGTTACACAAAATGCATAGACAAAAACCTGTTTAGAAAAGGAATACTAAAATTGTAATGTGAAATCTGCAGAAAGTCTATATATAAAACCACTCGACTATATGGTTAATGAACCTTAAAAATATTAGAGCTCTGAATGTCTGGTTTTGCATACCTTATGACGTCATTGCGCACAACAATGCTGCTCAACCTTCTAATTTTCTTAACCTTTACTATTGACATACACAGCTGCTGCCGGTTTTAGAATATTTATTTACGCTTCTGCAAATGCTACAAAAAATCAAAATTTCAATGTGATTTATACAGAAATTCACATAAAAGCACATTTAATTGCATTATAATGTGCGCAATGAATTCACGGTCTTCGGCAGGAGCCCGCTGCCATCTGTGTCCTGAAGGCCGGATCAGCTTATATTGTTTTCTAGCGACGGCAGGTCTAATCCTGTTGCCCTCAGTACCCCAGATATACTATGAAATAGTGCCAAACGTATGGGGTGCCATTCTGTGGGGTCCAGTGCTATATTACGCCCTGATCAACTTAATTATACGGTTTGTCCTCCGCAACATGGAATATCAGGTATTTCGCATGACTCACACTTCCATTGCACAAAAATACAAGCATATCTCAATCTGATTATTTTATCAACAAGGTTGCTATACGCGCCTCTTTTCTTGGCTTCGTCATGGCGGCGAGCGTACTAGTCGTCTGTTTTGCGCCCGCACCATGGCAGCAATTTGGCGTCTATGGCTGCTTTATGGCTTTCTTCCACTACTCGGAGTTTCTGGTTATTGCGGTAGCAAATCCTCGAACACTCTCACTGGACTCCTTCATGCTGAACCATTCAGTGCATTATGGTTTGGCCGCAGCAGCCAGTTGGATAGAGTTCGGTCTAGAGCTTCACTTCCTGCCCGATTTCAAGCGATACGCCCACATTTGGTTTGTGGGCGTGGCACTATGCACTTTCGGCGAGATTGTACGAAAAACGGCAATCATCACAGCAGGTCGCAGTTTTACGCATTTAGTAAGTACATGCTTATCTCCAGTTGAAATGGCTATTTATAATCTAATGTGTTCTCAAATAGGTCCAGGATGAGAAGCACTCGGATCACAAGCTGATAACCCACGGCGTATACGCGTACAGCCGGCATCCGTCCTATGTGGGCTGGTTCTACTGGTCAATTGGCACACAATTAATCTTGATGAACCCGCTGTGCATCTGCATTTATGCATTAGTCAGCTGGCTCTTCTTTCACGATCGCATATACGTTGAGGAGTATTCGCTGCTCTACTTCTTTCAGTCTGACTACGCACGGTATCAGAAGCAAGTGCCAACGGGGCTGCCCTTCATCAAAGGCTATCTGATTGACTAGGAATCATATTTACGGGATCAAATGTCATCCACACAAATGCAAATGCAAATGTTAATGCAAAGCAAACAACAAATCTAATCTTAGTATTTTCCCCTTTTGAAATTTGGGCACAGAGCAACAATAGATATAGTGACGAACCTTTTTCAATTATTATCGAGTCTATTTGTATTGTCTCAAAATGTAAAAGTATAAGAATGTATTTAAGCGTTATTGTTTATTATCTTTTTGTATTTTGCAACAATGAAATAAATTTAGAAGTGTGAATAAGGTAATGCATTCTGTTACCTATATATGTGCAAAGTCTTTTTTCAGTAGCTTGCAGTGTTTTTTATAGCTTGATTATAATCCCTGATTCACTGTATCAATATGTCAATGATAAACCAGAAACAGGCTTATCAACAGGTTGTACAAACGACGAGCGACATAAATTAGCTTGCTATGATGTGATATATTACATTGAAAAAAATAAATAAATAAACTATGATAATTGAGCAAACCCAACATCTCATAGCAGTAATCGTGTCGTATCTAATCTGCCGCTGATTCAATTGTTAAATAAAGCCAAAGTCATAAAACGCACAAAACACAGCGAATGTAACAAAACACAAAAGGGATGCAAACGAAAGCTGACAAATTGCCAAAAGAAACGAGCTTAAGCAATTATTATCAATTATGATTTCTTCGGGGTCATTTAGAGGTCAGCTCACCAATCAACGGTTAAATAGGATTTGCTTCTGGGCTTTTGTTATTTTATTATCAATTTAAATTCGAATATTGCTCTAACATTGTATATAAACGACAAGGCCGTGCATAATTCACATGTTCGTTGCCAACTGTGTTATATGTGCATGTGTGTTTGTGTGTGTGTTCATGTGTATACATAATATGTACAAATAATTAATAGTGTTAACAACATTTTCTTAGTCACGTTTAGAACTTATTTGCATTAATTGCAAATAGATTTGCGCCATGCTTAGTGCCTCTTACAGGCTTATCTGCGAGTGCTCGTTGTGTCTGTGTGTGTGTGTGTGCTTGTGTCTGTGTTAGTGTGTGTGATTCCGGTTTGTCTTCACTCATTAAACTCCGGCTCACCGGAATATGTGCAGCCCGGATTTTTGATAATGTGACCCGCTGCATAGTTGCCACAGCGTATGCAAACATCGAGCGACTTGCCCTGCACATACTGCGAGAGGAATCCACCAACGAATGCATCCCCAGCGCCATTGGTATCTACAATTTCATGGACCGCCAAACGTGTGACTGGGAACTCCTGGACCTTGTCGTGCTGGATGAGCAGCACGGGGTCACAGCCCTGCGTGAGTATGGCAATGCGTGGTCGCTCTGAATTAATTTTGGGCAGTGCCACCAGACGTTTGCCAATCTCACGCAGATCCGCATCGGCGGGCCAGCCTTGCGCCGTGGCAAAGGCATGGGCCTCTGCTTCGTTGCCAAAAATGATATCCACATAAGGCATAACCGCCATGAGCGGCTCCATGAAGTATTGCGATATGAATGGTGCGCTGAGGTTCATTAGGAACGGCCGCTGCTTGGCATTGGCTGTGGCAGCTACGCGCATTATACTGGGCGGATTGACGGTCAAGAAGAAGCCCTGTACGCAAGGATTACACAATAGATTAATCAGTAAGTATGCGAGATTATGAAGATTGTTTACCCACCGAGATATAATAGTATTGAGCATTGTCGATCAACGCCTTATTTGCAGGCTGCTCCAGGTGATCAATGGTGAATTTGTTGGCAGCCGCCAGGTTGGCGCACAATGAACGATGCGTGCCCGTGATGAGAACCGCGCATGTTCCCGTGGGCGTGTCTGGGCTCACTTGATAATGGGCATCGACGCCGGCAGCGCGCGCCTTTTCCCGCAGTATATCCGCATAATCGTCCTGGCCCACACAACCAAAGAAGACAGCAACGTTTGGCTGACGCAATATCCACTGTGCTATGCGCAGGGAGTTCTGCACCGAGCCACCAGCCAGGTACTCCGCCTGATATCCGTCGACCAGCTCACGGTAAATGGGCATGTGTCGCTCCTCTGCCAATATGGCATCATCCACATTCATGCCATAGCCTTCCAGGAATTGCAAGGGGACAGGTGCCGAAATGTCCAGCAGGGGATTCCCACATCCTACCAGGATGCCTTCTCTGCAAATAAAATCGAATTCAAAAGGATTAGGCTACAGTTGATGGTGCGCCCTATAGATACGCAACCTCGCGTTGCTTTTGTTGCTCATGTTGTCTAGTCGAGGGCTTGTCGTTAACTAGCAATTGAAACCTAGTCCAATATCAACGCCTGCCGCTTCAATGTTAATATTCAGTATCATTTGCCGATGAACCGAAGCGATAGCCCCAAATAAAGCTACAGTGCGGGCTAAATTGATGTGCACACTGCTAATGATACTGAATAAATACCGAATAATATTAGCCTATATTGTGTATAATGTTCGAGAGCTATGTTATATTATTACAGAGAGATCATCCAAATACATATGTAGGTACGTTGTGTCGAATATTGATATCAACTTCAGCTTGGGTGTTTTTTTTGGTTGCCAGTGTTGTTTACGATGTGCATTGTTGTATTTGTATAGAAGAATGTTTCTTATCAGAGCGTCGCATGCCTTCAGCAAATATTAGTTAAATTCATTCATACAAAAATCCCATTCCAATTGGATCAAAAGTGCAGGAATCCAATTCAGATAACATAAAGCATACAAATAAAAGACGACACTAACTAGAGCGTCAGCCAATGGCACACGATCTTCACATGTTGCTGTAAATTTCGACAATTAGACACGAATCAACACGAACACGTGGACCGAATTTGTAGACATTCATAATTCACGACAAAGTGTTGCGGGCTGAGGGCAGCCGGGGCGGATTCACTCAACTTACTGTAGTTTGCTTGTCATTTTGTTGTTATTGTTGTTGAGGGTGCTGTGATGTTGCCCGTCGGCTTATGTAAACATAAACACGTTGTTGCACTAGGAAGCTGTAGCTTACAATTGATTTTAAATCACTATATATCCTATGACTTAGTTTAATTAGACTTATTAGGAGCTATTTTTAGCGTTGTTATCGAGATGCGGGAGCTGATTGGCTCCAAAGATTTTGGGCGCAAAATGGCACAAAAACCAACCGTTGATAATATGCTAAAAAATACCCAGTTCATAACGATCAAAATTGTATTTTTCTATTGTACCCATTTTTGCATATTTACAATATTTTATTTAACAATATAGTAATGAGTTAATATGCATAATAAATCAAAATATAGTTAAAGATAAAGATGTAGGATATTAAAAAAAGAAAGTTTTAAATTCATTTAGTCTAGTAATTCAAAAGCAATGTGTGCCTTTGTGTTATAGCTTCTAGCTTTTGAATGCCATTTCAGGTAAACAGCTGATATCGATATGTCAAAACATCACTAAAGCCAAAAACATGAAGTTGGTTGCAACGCGGCTTGGCTCTCTTTCTTTCCGGTTGTCAAATAGGTACGAAAGCGTATTAATTTTGTGCTGAAGTCGCTACGAAGAATTTAATTTACAATTATGTACGGCATCATATCTAATAATAGTTTTATTAATATCCTTTACAGTGCAGTGCAGCCTCAACCTTTCAGATATGGCCGACGTTGATGTGTAAGTGCAGAACACAATAAAATTTGAACTTGAAATGGTTTCACTATGATGAAATTAATTGGTCCGTGTTTATGAATTTTACATTGATTAGAAACCTTCCAATTACTGAGCAAGTTCTTTGAAATAAGTTTTGAGCTAGAAGCTCTGTGATAATTTATAGATTTGATTATTAATTTGAAATATTTTCTTTMTTTCCGGTAGAGATGTGCCCTCCGCAGCGCCCGTTCTTGGCGGCGCCATGGACATAAACACCGCGCTACAGGAAGTGCTGAAGAAGTCGCTGATCGCCGATGGACTCGTCCATGGCATCCACCAGGCCTGCAAGGCTTTGGACAAGTAAGCAAAAGCAATTCTTAGTTTAGTTTTTAATTTTTTGCTGATGAAATTAATTGGTCCGTGTTTATGAATTTTACATTGATTATCAATTCTTCCAATTACTGAAAACGCCTTAAATTCAATCAATATATACACGAATTATTGTAAACCATTATAATTAACTTTTCCATTTTGTTTTACAGGCGTCAAGCTGTCCTCTGCATTCTGGCCGAATCCTTTGATGAGCCCAACTACAAGAAATTGATCACTGCCTTGTGCAATGAGCATCAGATTCCACTGATCCGCGTCGATTCGCACAAGAAATTGGGCGAATGGTCCGGCCTGTGCAAGATCGACAAGGAGGGCAAGCCCCGCAAGGTCTGCGGCTGCTCTGTTGTCGTCATCAAGGACTACGGTGAGGAGACGCCCGCATTGGATGTAGTTAAGGACCATCTCAGACAGAACAGTTAAACATGTTGCCATTGCTGTTCCCCTGTCTGCTGAATGAGAGACTACCTGGCAAATTTTTTATTGCTAAATAAAAACAAAAACTTAACGAAAAACCAACATTCACAATCAAACAATGGAGGCGTTCGCAATTTTTGGAATGTTCTTTATTTAATAATTATTATCAATAATACAAATGAAATGATAAAAGCTAATCGACGCAGCTCAAGCAGGTTTCCTTGTGCTGTGGCCAATCCTTTAGCTGGCACTCTCTGCAATTTGAAGGAAATTTAATTGTGAAAATTCGCGCGCAAATCTGTGTAATCTGTGGAACGCACCGTGAACAATAGTGAACCAGCTTGCAGTTGGCGCACTTCTTTTTGGCCGGCACCTGGCAGTTGCCGCACTTGTGAGTCTTTTCCTCCGAGTCTTCGCTAGTGGTAGCCGTTGCACTGTCCTCTGATTTAGATTCATCCTTTTTCAGTTCCAAATCTGCCATGTGCTGCTCCAATTCACACAATAGTTCGGTGCCGTAGGCATTGGTCAGCTTTGTAGCCAGTGCACAGATCTCTTCACGATTGTTGTTGAGGAAGACGCCATCCTGGTTCTGAGCGACCTGGTAGAAGCCGCCGTCACGCTCCACCTCCTTGATGAGATTGTCCTGTATCTGTGGCATGTCCTCCAAAATCAAGTTTTGAGTCTTTTTGCCGGTTGTGCCGCTAATTGTCAAGCGACTGACGAAGTGCTTGAGCTCGATCAGCACGGGCAGCTGATCCAAGAGCGTCTCATGTAGCATGCCCAGAAGCTGTGAAAACAAGCATTTAGAAAGGATTTTAAAGTCCTATAGCATATTTTACCTTTGATATTTGCTTGCAACGCGCCTCGTTCAGGGGATAGTTGTCGGCTATCTGGGGGGAGAGCAGCAGCTGGCGAACACAGAACCAGGCCTGGGCTTCAGTCTTTATGATTTTAGTGGCATCCTCCACGGAAGTCCACTTTTCATCAATATACTTCTCCAAGCCCTTGCTGGTGTTGCGTTGCCAGGGCCTGAAGCAAAGTACGTCTACCATCAGCCAGGGTACATCGTGGGTGGTCAGCATTCTACGAGCTGCGCCCAAGTGGAAGAGAGACACGTTGTCGGCCAGGTAGCTGAGTAGGGACACGCAACGCAGCCCAATCTTATAGATGAGATCGCGCTTCTGGCGCTCGAGCTCTGTGAGCACGGCTTCGTCCACATCTACTTTGGTCTCGTTCTCATGATATCCCATGCTGACCAAGCCGATGACCTGAGCGACACCTTGGGCCGCATAGTCGATCAGATCTAGCACCGAGTCCTGCAGTGACTCACAGCCACTGGGATGGTAGAGGCAGAGATCCAGCAGTGCAACCACTGCCGCCTCATGGTAAAGCACGGTGTAAATCAGGAACGTGGCCTGTGGGTTCGGATCAATTTCCAGCAAATGAGGCAGCACACGCGACTTCCAGAGATTAACGCAATAGGCCTCATTGATAAGCACCGACAGCTTGTCCCGGGATATGAGAAACTCCTTGACTTCCTCCTCACGCTGCTCGGCCACCTCCAGAGCCGCCTGCTGGCTCAGCTTGATGATCATCTCGTGCACTTCCAGCCACTTGTTGCTGCCCACATCGCGCACCTGGAAGCAGCGAATGCTCTCCACAAACAAGTACAGCTCCTCGGGATATACAAAGTTGACCATATTTATAGATTTTTAAAATGATTTAACTGAATTACTAAACTATTCACTTCTCAAGAAGATCGTCGAGTGAAAATGATGTGGATAATACTTCAAATAAACAACTTTCCTGCTGTCATGGAAACTAAACTGGCTCCGGTTGCTAGGTTCCTTCTAAGAGAAGCTATCAAGGGGTTGCAGTGGTTATTATTCTAAAGTTTTAAAAGTTGGGGTGGATGTCGAGCATTACCCGCAATTAGATAAATGAGATAAATAAATAATAGGCGATTTCATTTCAACATTTTGTACATTCAGATTCTATTTGAAATAAAATAACTGGATAATAATTAGTTGAAATTAAATTTCACATCCTTTGGGCTAAGTTAGCCTAAGCACACGCTTTGCAGTTAGTTAATACTCGTTATATAGCGTATATACATCATATAAATATATATATATGGAATAAAATCTAAGTGTCTTTGACTACAAATAGTAAATGGTTTACTCGCCAGGACTTTGGGGTCAACAGTTTACATTAAGGCTCCAGCCCACATTTTGTAAGTTAAGCGGTAAACAGATACTATACACATAAGCGATATAATCACACGTTTTAGTAAGATTAAAGCCGACATCGAGCAGTCTAACGATATAATTTAACTTGTTGCTTCAGCTCACGATCGCTAATGCGATCCTTGAGATTCAGTTCATCCTCCTGTTTGCGCAGTAGCTCGAAAATGGCCGCCAATTGCTCGCGCTCAATGCGTCGCTCTTCTTCTATCTGGCTGGGCGACAGGTTCTTTTCCAGCTTGTGCTGGTAGCGCTTGGCCTTGAATTTGCCCACCAGGTTGCTATAGTTGGGTGCCCGTCCTGGTCCCGGCTCCGTGTCGCTCTCGCTCATCGGCTCCTGCTCTTCCTCGTACGCCTCGTCATCATCGATCTCGCTTTGCAGGCGCGCTTGCATCTGTGCCTTCAACACGGGATCGTCCTCCAAGCGTACTTCGTCAGCGCCAAGGCCTTCGTCCTCCAGGTCCTGCATCGAGTATATGAATTATGATTCTGAGGGGTTGGCTTCTAACAATTCTTTACTCACGGCATCGTCCTTTAAAAAGTTGGCAAAATAAAGAGCTATTAGAATACATAACAACAGAGTGGTCAAGGCCACCACATAGTAGCCCGAAGGATCAAACCACATGTTCAATATATTTGCCCAGTTTTGGCGTTTATATTTTATTACGATTACAAGCTTTTTGTTTTGATGACTTCCACAACAGGAATGTGACCAGTTTGCAAACTGATTTAAATACTGAAATACTTTCTAAATACTAAACTCAATGGTGAACTTTTTCAAGGCCGTTAACATTAAAAACCAAATATTTAATTTAAACATTAGAAACAAGAAAATCAGAATTGAATTTTATTTTTATATTAATTTAACATTTATACAACTATTATTTAATTAAATGTATACTTTTTTTTAATAAAAAAAAACAGAACTGCTTATCATTGATATATAAAATTATACATTTATCTTGACGATAATATAATATAAGATATTTTGGTTATATTGCTGGCTCATCGAAACATCCGCACTGGATTATTATTTATTGTAGTCGACGTTGTGTTTTAAATATTGTTCGGGGCTCTGCAAGAAGGCTTTTAAAAACTCTATGCCCCTGGGCAAAAATCGAATCTTCTCATCGAATTGATGCAGCGGCGGCTGCAAAATATCCTCAAATGAGATCTCCTGAACATTACCAATTTGAATATTAAAATGGATCCTCTCTGTGCGCGCATATGCCTCATCCTCTTTCTTAACTGATCTGCGCACAGTTTTTCTCACGATAATCCGATTCGAATCACTAATAATAGAAATATCAAATTAATTAAGTAAATTACTTATAAAAATTATTATTTTTACCTGATTAGGCGCGCATTTGCTGTAATTATGGTTAAGAGCAGCTTCCTGCATATGTTAGTGGTTTGCAAACAAACTCCATCGATGTGTTTTAGAAATTTGACAAGATCTGCCACATCATTGCCGTCCAACAGCCTATCCAGATTCAGCGGCAGATTAAGTTTAAGTTGAAAATCCAACAGCTCAGCAAAAGCAGTCTTTAAAGCTGTACAAAAATTTAAAATGTAAGGTTAAACCAAATTGGAATGCCTTTGATCTACACTTACGTGAGGGAGGTGCGTATTTTGACTCTAGTTGAATGTTGCCTACGCGTATTTTGGTTTCCAACAAGTCCAACGGCTCATAACCCATATAGATTTTAAAGGTGGTTATTTTACGATGGGAGAATATGTAGGTACGATAGATTTGCAGATTAGAATCAAATATCCAATTGGGCAGCTCAGCATGCAATGCTGTTTTTAAGCACTTTGCAAACGTTTCCGCTGGCTTGGGCTTGGGCAAGCTTTGTGCGTATCTAGAAGAGAAAAGAGAACAATAATATTAGATTTTTGCATTCTATTGCATATATTTTATTTTCACTTACTCCTCCCACTTGCTGTTGAACATCTCCTGCATTTGCAGCAAGCTTAAGCGACTTGTGTTACGTGAATCGCATTCCGATTCCGTCTCCTCGTGCTCGTCATCTTCGGAATTATTTTCCAGCTTCTTGAGCTCCCAATACTTGTGGACATCTGATATGCGTGGCTTTTGTCGCAGACGCTTTAGACGCTCAAGTTGCACGCCCAGGTCCGGCCAAACCGGCAACTCAAATGTCTCTTCAGCACTCCTACGTGTCCTCGTTCTGTCCATGGAGCGCCGGCAATGTTTGCACTTCTTGCACGCATCCTCAGCTCCAGCCACGACTGGCGGATCGAGCTGCCCAAGGCATGTCTCATTGTTCACCAAGTCAATGTGGCTGCTGTTAGCTGCTCGAATTTGCTCGTCGTCCGCCTCGTCCAGCAAGGTCGACACCAGACTGAGTCGTGTCTTGTCAATTTCACAATTGTCCGACTTGTCGCTAAGATCATCCATATTGTTAAAGATTATGGTATCCCCACTTAGATTTATGAACTTCTTATGGGCCGTAGCGTAGCTCTTGTTGCTCAGCTCATTCGAGTTGCGACTCTCAATGGACGTCTCCTTGGGTTGCTGGCGCTGCTCAGCTAAGTTCTTGGCCAACTCTCGCTGTGACTTGAAATGGTTCGACACATCAGATATGGTAATGGGATTATCTTCATAGACCGTTGCATCTTTGTTCATTTTATGCTCCGTGAAGTGTGGAATTGCCATTCCGTGGCTACCCGTTTGGCGAATCATTTGTGCTCTAACCATCTGCACGGTGCCGTCCAGCTGCTCCGTTTCACGCCAAGGCGAATTCAAGCTTTTGCACAAAACAGGAATGCGTGACCTATTCGTTGGATATTCCAATTCCTCCACTTGTTGCTCTGATGTTTCCAGTTCAGGCTGCGAGCTAATTTAAATAATAACAAATGAGATCCCATCGCTGTCTAAGCGAAGATAATACTTACATATTCTCCTCCTCCATGTCCAGATGCAGCTGCAGGTTGCGCTTCTTCGGTTCCGGCAAATTGGGTGTCAAATGTATTGGCAGGCGTTTCACATTGAACGAAGTTTTCTTCTCGGGCGTGGCGTAGTTTGATGTGTCCATGTCTAGCTCCATGTCCATCGCTTGGTATATGGATCGGCAAGCAGTTTTTCCAGCTGGAGTTCTGACCTTGCAATCCTCCTCCAAGTCTTCGAATTCAATCATTGATCGACCTGGTGTAAGGGCAAACATCTGACGCTTCTTCTTCATTTCAGGCGTTTCGAAGCTGGAGCTGATAAAAACGTTTTCTTTATCCAGAGTTTTACGTAAGAGATCGTTCCTCAGCACAGCTTCCCTCAGTTTGGGCTTGGATCTGCTGGCGCGCTGCTCAGTGCACTCCACATTTGACATCTCCACATCCATGGCTTCCTCTTGGTATTGTGTCTGCCTTGGTTTGCTTGCCAAGCGCTGGCTTTGGGCAGCCGCCTTTGATGACTTGACTTCGTCAAGGGCTTCACTTAGATTTAATGTTTCGCTGGGCAACTGCTTGCAGTTGCTGTCGTTGTTTGCGTTTGCTTTATCCTCCTCCAGAATGGACTCCGTCATGAGTAGAGTTTGTCTATGTTTGATGCTTTCTTTTTTAGCTAGAGCAACTGTATGTGTGGGAGCTAAATTCTGATCGACATCGATGGCTTCTGTGGCCAGCATTGTTGCTCTATATTTGCTGAAGTGATTGCCTTTCGACCCAACGGTTGACTTTGAACAGAAAGAGTCTTCGTCCATGGGATCAACCACATGCAACGTCTGCCTAGGCCGATGGGACTGCTTTACTTCCTTCTGCATATTTAAGATATCCTTCTCAATTCCCGCATTCCCTTGCTGCTGATAGACAGCGTTGGATGTTGAGCAGAAAGAATCTTCTTCAATAGGATCAGCCAGGTGAGTGGTTTGTCTACGGTTATTGTATTTCAGGTCAACCTTAGGCGCATTCTGTTTACCTGGCTGATCTCCCTGTAAATTATGCTTATGTAGATTGTCAGAGTGTGCTAAATTGAAGGAATCTTCTTCGATGGGATCAGCCAGGTGAGTTGTTTGTCTACGGGTATTGTATTCAGGAGCATTCTGTTTACTTGGCACATCTCTTTGTAAATTATGCTTATGTAGATTATCTGAAGGTGGTGCGAAATTGAAGGAATCTTCTTCAATAGGATCAGCCAGGTGAGTGGTTTCTCTACGGTTATTGTATTTCAGGTCAACCTTAGGTGCATTCTGCTTACTTGGCGGACCTCCCTGTAAATTATGCTTATGTAGATTATCTGAGGGTGGTGATAAATTGAAGGAATCTTCTTCGATGGGATCAGCCACGTGAGTTGTTTGTCTACGATTATTGCATTTCAAGCTAACGGCTTGCTTCATTTCATTCTTAGATTCCAATATACCTTCCTCAATTGGAGCATCTGTTTGTAAATTTTGCTTATGCAGATTCTCAGAGAACGATGTTAAATTAAAGGAATCTTCTTCAATGGGGTCAGCCTGTATAATGGTTTTCCTACGCCTATCAACAAGAGAGGCAGCTGATGTTGCCTCTTTTTCTGCTTGCTCAACTGTCTCGACTCCTCGAAGTTGATGTCTATGCTGATTGGCAGCAGGGACTGTCGAATCGAATGGATCCTCTTCGATGGGGTCTGCGTGATGTACAGTTTGCCTACGACGATTGCATTCTTCCCATTGCTGCGTGGGGGCAGCGGATGTTGAGCAGATTGAATCTTCTTCAATGGGTTCAGCTAGATGCAATGTTTGTCTACGTTGGGCGCATAGCAAGTTAGCTGCGGATTGTTGTTTGACAGGTGCCTCATGCTTTAACTTCTCTTCCTTCATGGTGGCATCTCTCTGTAAATTATGCTTATTCTGATTGGCTGATGTGGATTTTATACTGAAGGAGTCTTCTTCTATGGGATCATCTACGCGCAATGTTTGTCTACGTCTATTGTATTGTAGATCCAACTTAGCAGCCTTAACTGACTTTTCAGCTTGTAATCTTGAGCAGATTGGATCTTCTTCTATGGGATCTTCCTGAAGTAATGTTTGTCTACGTCGATTGCCTCCATCAATGTTATGCTGCTTGCCAGCTGTGGATGCTGAGCAGAAGGGATCTTCTTCAATGTCATCAGTGTGATGTAAAGTCTGCCTGCGTCTATTGGTTTCCTTGCTTTGCTGCTTGGTAGCTGTGGATGTTGGGCACATTGAATCGTCTTCAATTGGATCAGCCAGATGTAAAGTTTGTCTGCGTCTATCATATTGAGAGTCTGCTTCAGTAGGTGCTGACTTTGGCTTCACTTCTTGAGGTTTTACATCATCTTTCTTATTGCTCTGCAATGTTTCCCTATGTTGTTCGGCAGACGTGGAAGTTGAGCAAAAGGAATCTTCCTCAATTGGATCAGCCAGATGCATTGTTTGCCTACGCCTGGTGCCCTCCGGTGCCAATGCATTGGATTTTGTCATCAATGGTTCCTCTCTTTGCGGCTGAACAGCAACTTCTTCAATGGATTCAGACAAGACCAATGTTTGTCGATGTCTGGTGTACTGATGCACAATTTCTGCAGGAGCTGCAGTCCGTGACTGTACGTAATCCGTTTCAATCTGCTCGGACATGTGCATTGTGTGTCTGTTCTTGCTCTGATGCACTTCCTTTGGTGCAAAAGCTGGAACGCAAAACGAGTCCTCTTCAATTGGTTCGGGTAAGTGTATAGATTGCCTACGTCTGCTGGAATCCTTGTCAACAACGGGCATTGCCTGAGATTCCTTTTGTGGCCTTACGCTCTCTTCTTCAATTGGCTCAGTCATGTGCAATGTTTGCCTTTGCTTTTTGGAATTGAATTTCATAGAAGCACCATCAATTTCTTTCTTTGAGCACAACGAATCTTCGTCCATGAAATCATCCATATGTAATGTCTGCTGACGATTATTGATTGCATTTGATTGCAATTCCAGCTTTGGCATTTCAAGATCTTCATCCATGGCCTCTGCCAAATGCAATGTTTGCCTGCGAACATTGAATTTTGTTTTAGGAGCTGAAGACTCGGAATTTGGTTTAGCCTCATCTTCTTCAATGGGCTCAGCCATGAGCAATGTTGGCCTTGACTTGGTGCGGTGTTGAGCTACGACTGCTTCCTGAGATCTTAAATGTGTTTGATTGGATTGTTGAGCCACAGCTGGCGTCGTCAAATTGTTCTTCACATTTTTGCAGGGGCTTAAGAAATCATCTTGCTCCATTGGCTCATGCATGGCTTGCTTAAGTTTTGCGCCTTCCAGAGCTGCTGCAACCGCTGCCTCATGCTTCTCTAGGTCATCCAATTCCATGGCAGTATTATCGTATGTAGTTTCACGCCTCGATGAGCACTTGGAGTTATTTCGTGAGTGTGTTTCATCGCCCATTTTGGCATTAACTAGAAAATTTGTGTTGTCCAGCATTAATTCGTCTGCCTGAGAGAAACGATAATTGCGCTTAGCATTGAGTGAGCTCTTCGCGTTCACATGTTGCTCTGCATGGTCTGCTTTTGTTTCGGACTTTTGTGGAACGGCGGGCGACATCATCATGCTCTCATTGAAATTGAGTGTTCCGCGCGGCTTGATCATTACTTTATCTGGAACTTCCTCTTCCATGGGTTGCTGTTCCAATCCATGCCAGAAACGCTGATTGCCTTTGCGATCAGTAGTTGGAGTTCTTGGGCCATTGGGAAATAGCTGTATGCGGCCAGAATTCAATGCATCGTTCAATTGCCGAAAGTTCAGTTTCTTGCTAATGCCGTTCTCTGAAATGACGTCTAATGGAATTAAAGGCGATGACAACGTTGAATCATCGGCCAAATAGTTAATATAGTCTTGTTCTGCCATATCCATAGATAAATTCTCTTGAGTTGCCTTCGGCACATCTTCAATCATCCCTTTTGGCTCTGTGATATAAAAGAATTGATATTTTTATCTACAGTCTGTCAGATTTCTATATAATTGTAGTTACCAATATCACTAAAGTCACACGTAATATCTTTGTTCTCAAATACCATTGTCTTTTGCTTCACTTCAGTTTGCTTTTCAGGTAAAACACTTATGTCTGTAGACATTATAGTAGTTTTTTGCATGTTGACTTTTTCGATATGCTTTGGCTGCGACTGTAATAAACCAGAAATTAGTCAAGATCTGTATAAATGAGAATCGAAGTACATTTTCTTCACATCATATTAAAGCTGTACTTAGCATTTCTTAATTTCAGTGTAACTCTTATCACCAGTTTCAACTCACCCCAGCATAAGCTAACGTTTCTGGCATAAGATCCACAGTTTTTTCTAAAACTGTCATTTTGTATACACTATTTTCTCTCAGCTTCTCACGTTCTATTTCATTCAAAGATAAACTGTCACTGACCGTTTGCTCCAATCGGGGTGGCGATTCATTGCGCCGCCGGTTTCGGTTTAGTTCATCCGGCAGCAGCGTCACATTGATGCTTGTCTGCAATTTGAATGTGAAATCGCTGAATCGCGAATTCTGCTCCAATACTGATGCACTGTTGACGGCAGCTATGAGACCTTCGGGAGATGCATTTTCCTTATCCGTCTCATCGGCCACATAGAGATGTGCTGTACTTTGCAAAACAGACGCTGCTACTGTGCCATGGGAGTGCCCTGAGCTATCCTCTCCATTGGTGTGATCTGATATTTCATATGAGTTGTCATAGTCTCGCGCTTTTTCTGTTGTATCAAATTCTCTGTATTTGGAAAAGAGCTCCGTAACTAGAAGAATTCGTTTATATTATGTATAATACGTACCGTATAAACTTTTTGCCGCTGAAACTGATGCGACGCTTTGTTCGTACATGATCAGCCTCTTCATCTGGCAGTTTCGACACTTTCTTAAGCTAGAATAGGAGATTTTTTATAGCCTCTGCTTATTTGTTTTAATATTTTACTCACCGAACTTCTTGCTTTCTTATTATTCATTTTGTTTTGTTAGATAAATATTACTGTTCTCGTAATTTAAAATACAGACGCCATAATATATGTGACTGCCAACTTGTATAATTATTTTTCGCCTCTACTATACGACTGACAGTTATCGATATATCGATAAGATATTTGAGCAGTTATATTTAAATTGTGTCTAAATAGTGTGGTTGCTTTATTCAAATATTAAAGAAGTGCGGTCACATTTTTGTACTTTAATACATCAAATTTCTTCGTTGACATCCTCCAGATTTGTCTGCAATTAACAATGTGTTACGCCACATAATTTTAATTCTGAGCTGGAAAATTTTATTTGTAATGCTTATGATAGAAAATATTTTGTAGAATAGGCATAATGATAAATTCTCTACACTGAATCACTAACCTAACAAGAGTGGATAAATATAATATATTATCAGTTGCTTAATAGAAAATATTATTTTTAAGCATTTAAATATTTTTATTAATGTTAATCAGCTGGCCGCTAGCTATCGTTATCGATTGCATTTGCATAATATAGTTAACCTATCGTAAGTACAACGATTCGATAATAGACTTGACTCAACACTACCGCCAAGCACATTTTTCTGTGTTAGATCTGCTTAAGCTTATCCAAAATTGGATTGTGAAATGTACGAGCTGAAAACCTTGTTGCCGCAATTCGATATTAAACTGCCCACCTGCATGTACGAATTAAAGAATGTCAGCCTCTCTGTTGGCTCTGCGCCATGCTCTGAAGTAAGTGTGTTGTCCCCAGCTGCCGTGGCCAAAATTAGAGATGCGCATTGTTGTGAACAGCAGAAATTCACTGTGACAGTGAATTGCTTTATAATTGATTATCAAAAATTAAATAACTCAACTTCGTGAAAAATTAGAAACAAAAACATTAATTTTCATTCAATGTATGATTTCGAAAAAGGCCCGTCAAATTCGATGCAATGGCGCTGCAAAGAGTGAAAGGAACAATTCAAAATCGGCCACCTGTGCACTTGATTTGGACATTTTAGGCAAACAAATACAACATTTACTAAAGGTTATAAAAATATTCAAATCTAATTATAAACAATACTAACAAAACTGCATAACACGCACCGTACTTTTGCATTTGTGTGTTCATCTTGGAAATGGGCGCATGATAATACGTGTTGTTTATAGTTAAGTGTGTGTTCCCATCGAATTCCGTTTTAAACTCTATGTCAAAGTGTGGTGATTTAAATAAATACTCATAATCATCACAATAAGTGTGGCTTCTTAAGTAAACGAAAACATTAATTTCATTTATAAGGCACTGCGATCGCCATAGTCAAATTGTCACGCCCCCATCTCTATTTTGGTTTACTTTCTTAGTTTATAAATCGGCTATCCTGCAATGATGTAATTTGTTTGTACTATTTACAGAACGCAGACGCGGCAGCAATTTTGCAGCGCCAAGAGAAGGTGCTGAAGCAGCTGGAGGAACTGAAAGCACAATTGAGTCTTATGCGGAAAGGTTTGGGTGTCAAAGTGTGCGACAAGAGCGTGCAGCAGACGACAGCCTGTAATAACGGTGGACTTAAAGAGGTAATATAGGAGGTAGTCCTAATGGCTTAAATTACGGAAGCTAACGAATTGGTTTTCGATAGGTACCACTGCATGATGTAGTCGTTAATGGGCATCCCAACTTTATACCATACGCACTGCTGGCATTGAAGAACGCTTGGCGCGATTTGTACACAATTGATGTGAAGACATTTACACACTCGACTATGGCAGATATTGGACCAGCAGCGCGCGAATTTGAGGCTAATTTGGCCAAAATAGCAGTCAACGAATCGTTGCCCAAGATCAAAGTAACACTAATCTGGAAGAACTGTAAGCTTGTTTTACTAAAATCCCATTGTAATATACTTATTTCAAATAATTAATCTATCATCAGGTGAACACACCGAGATGATTAGCTCGCCCACAATGTATGTGCCCATATATGGTGAAGTGAATATCATTAGATACCTGGGACGAGTGGGCCCCGCAGAATATCGCTATGAGAACTCGCCTCTCTGCAATGAAATCGATGCTGTGCTAGACATCTGCTATCAACTGCTGCGGTGCAACACACACAAAAGCCAAGTGGCCATGGTTCGCCTGCTCGACAAGCGACTAAATGATCAGCAATATTTTGGCGGCAATCAAATGTCTGTGGCAGACATTGGCGTCTATAGCTCTTTGATACGCATGCCTACCATTAAGGATAAGGATCTTACTCCAGCGCTTCTTGCATGGCGCAAACGAGCCAAACTCATAACTCAAATCTAAAATATTTCGAAATTTAAGAAATAAATTAGAGGTTTAACAACTTTTGTTACTGTCACAATCGATCGATTAATTGAGATAAACTTGGAAGCACGAATCGTGATATCAAATACAGTAATCGTGATTTTAAATTTACTTCGAGTGTTGTCTCAATCCTATAAATATATTTATGAACTCGTTAAAACTTACTGATGTAGCAAATAATATATTTATTGAAGTTTTATATTTACTAGCAGATTATTAAGTTGTCCTTTTACTATCCAGTTAAACGGCCCCGAGAATATTTTCCATTATTCGCAGTTTAAAATAGACACATGAGTTTTTTTTTTTATAATTTTATTTGGCTTATTTATCTTTGCAATTAATTACACAATGCAGTTTCTCATTTTAATATTGCAATTGGTGTTTTGCTTTTAATTTTGCACTTACAAATGGCTTAATTGCTACGTTTAATATTTGCTTTATATTGTTGAAATCCGTTGATTGTAAATTGTAAATTATGTTGTTTCTTTTATTAGTTTAGCTTTTGTTAGGAGGTCTCTCGCTTTCTAGGAGGAGGTTAGTTCACGTTAAAATTGTTTGCATCTGCAGCGCCCCCCGTTAATGATCTGTACCATATACAAGCGCATACGGATGTGTGTAATTGTATGTATATTTTTAAATAATAATTAATAGCTAATACATATGTATATTGTATATATATCTTGTATAATCATTATCAGTTTTGAGTGTTATTTAGTTGCTGTAAAAGGAATCGCAAGCTCTTGAAACTCTATGAACGGATTCAAAACGTGCCTAGCCAGAGGCTAGCTGAGAAATAAAAGCCAGCTAATAAGTGATTCACGTTTCAGTTTTACAATTGTACACAAATTAAAAGTACAAAATTAATAATTGTGTTAGGAGAAATGATTAGACGCCAGCTCGTTTGGCATCCGGGGCGCCTCCTAGCTGTTTAACTCGATTCATTTGCACACTTAGTATTTCATTTAAATGCTACGTAGACGCCTAGGGCAGGAGCAGAGTTGAGTTGGAGATGGAGTTGAGCGGAGCGGAGCGGGTGTATCTGCATTATGTTGTCTCGCCCTTACCGCTGTCGTCAGCGGACTCGGCATCATCTGTTGCAGATGCCGTAACTGATTTCGCGGAGAGACCATTGTTGTTCGTGCACTTTGTATTGCCATTATTTTTGCTAATTGCTGCACTATCCCCATTTCCGCCGTCCTCCCCATCATCTTCATCCTCCTCATCCTCATCGTCCTCATCCTCATCCGAGTCTGTTGGCAAATCTTCCGTCTCCAAGTCAAAATCATCATCATAGAAATTCGCATCCAGGCCAGATTCTGTGCTAGGCTTAACAGTGGGCTTAAGGCAATAGTCCTCCAGGGTCATAGGCACCACAATACCCTCTCGCTTGGCTTCCGCATTGGCGGCCAACGCCTGCTTGCGTATGATGTTTGGATATTCGTTGTCTTTGCCCTGCATTACATACAAGAATACAGTTAGTATATACTTGAGCATAGATTATAGTAATAAAATTCCAACTTTGCTTACCTGGGAGTCCCGCCATCGACGATACATCACCGAGGCATCTACATTGGCCGGCGAGTATGTATTGGGCTCATTGAGCAGCGAAATGACTGAGAGGAGAATGGTGCGCACGTTCTGGGTCGGATTCCAGCGTTCGCAGGGCAGCTCACCACTTTGGGGATCATCGACAGGCGGATGCAGTATAGATATACAAAGGTCGCCATTCTCGTAGACATTCGGATGCCACACCTTGGTGAGGAAGCGTATGGTTGGCGGCGAGTACGGATAATCGTGTGGGAATTTCATGTGCGCCTTGAAATAGCCACCTTGATATAGCGTGTCTGGTGGGCCAAAGATAGCCACCTCCCATTCAAACAGATTATCATCATTAATGAGCTTGACGCGAAATCCCTCTACTGGTTCCTCCTGCAGGGACTTGTATTCCATGGCCAGGGCACGTACCGCTGAGCTACTGGGCGTCGTTGACAGCGTTGCTGTCGTCGTGGAGCTTGCGCCGCCAGCTCCGGCAGCAGCCATCAACGTCGATGACGCATTTTGCGATGTGGAGGCAGCAGTGGTCATTTGTTCACCTACCAAATGAAAAATGTTTCTATGCAGCGACTTTTGTTGGTATGTACGTATGTATGGGTGTATGTGTACGCTTGAGAGTGTATGTGAGTGCTTAAATGTTATATGTATGTATATGAATCAAGCGTACAGGGTCAATATCTTGTATATGTTAACGCGTACGGGAGGGGAAAACAACAACGACTACGGATTCAAGGTGAGCAGCGGCACTCACACATATTGAAATTGTTTTTGCAAGTGGAACTTGAAAATTTTGGATAAACGATTGGGACAAATGCGTTGTGTCGCGTTGCCTTGCTTTTGTCGCCTTTTTATTAACTTTTTGTATGGAATGAGAAGAAAATTATGTGTTGTTGTTGCTGGTGTTATTTTGAAGCAGACAACAAAATGATTCAGACAAACAAAAATAAATTAAATGAATATATGCCAGTGGAGTTGCCAGCTTCTTTGCAGCCTACTGTGTTCAATACGTACTTCTTTTGGCCAAATAACTTAAATTGAATATACGGCTTATTTATAGATTTGTATTATTGTTATTTCCTTTGCAACAATTTCACTTTACACATATTCGCCATAATTAGAGATTCGATACTATTGGGAACAAGCAGGGTGACATTTTGTAACTCGATGTCGATACATCGTCATTAGCATAGCTCACGAATCAATGATATTTGAGAATTATATCGATACATCGATAACTCCGAATTTGGTATCAACAATCCGATATTATCAGTACATCCCTAGTGGAAAAAAGCTGCGCATCGCTAGTGTATACACAAGTGCTGAAGCTGCAAGTCGTGCGTGTAGGGACGCGAGAATTATTTTAAGAGCCACGAAAACTAACCAATTAATTTAATAAAAAAAACAAAGCAACAACCAGCCGCGTCGTTATACTTATCACTTAGTATGTGGATTAAATATCTTTCGCTCAATATGCTGCGACGCGCCGCGCTATCTACGCTTCAACTCTAAAGAGACGGCAACTGTGAAAAAGAAAGAAGTAGCAAAGCAACAAAAAAAGTGCATACAGGAGTGGCTGCTGCTGTGAGTGCGCGAGCATATAAAATTGAAATTGCCAAATCTAAGCAAGCATACACACGCGCACACACTCATCTATATAAATACATACATAAAACACAGCTTTTGTTAAATTTAATTTAACATTTGTGTAATCTTAACGAAGAAAATAATTACTACGTACGAAGAAAATTCAAACAACGCCCAAAACAAAAAAAGAAAAAACACAAAATTAACAGATACAAGTACGAGGAGCAGAGTAAAAACGACAACAACGAAAGATAAATGCATACAGAGACAAAATAGCGACAGAAACAACAACTACTACAATAACAACGCAGTTACATTCCAGTGGGAAAGTAAAGGGGAACCGAGGAACATGTTTTCAACCAGCATAAAACAGCATAAAATTGTGAGCGAGCACATTTTTCTGTGAAAACCGAACGCCCGAAAGAAAAGTGTTGCCCACACACACACGCACGCATACACACATAATTTAATATACATACGCGCGTACGCAGGCAAATAGCCGCACATAAACTAACCGACGCTCACATACACACACACACACATACACAATGTCCAGCTGGGCTGAACGCGTGCATCGACGCGCTGCTGATTTGGGCAACGTTGTCACATCCTGTGGCCATCCAGCTACCGCTCCCGCCTATCCGTACCGCTTGGAGAAGGTGAAGTTCGGTGTACCCCTGGAGGAGGTGTGCAAGCACAACAACAACATTCCAGGCCCTCTGCTTGTATTAATATTGAAACTGAACAAGGAATCGCCCAATCGACGCGATGTTTTCCGTGCGCCCGGCCATCAAGGCGCAATGAAGAAGCTCATCCATTTCCTGCAGGCGGGCCGACTCGTCAACGTTGATAATTATTCGGTGTTCACTATTGCCAGCGTACTAAAGAAGTTCCTCCGCAAGATACCGAACGGCATCTTTGGACGCAGTGGCGAGATGGAGCTCTTTGCCATTAACGAGCTGCAAAACGAAGCCGAGCAAACGGACCGTTTACACAGGTGAGTTGACAACTTTGTCAATTATGTGCAGATGTAGATGCACATACATATAAATATATACACACATTTATGCAAACTTTTGTATATTGAATATAGCTATGTGCTAGCGACGTGACACGACCTGTAGTATATATCTAAATGGTTTGCGCGCCATTTTCTAAAATATACCTTATCAGTTGAGGTAATATTTATGAGTGTTTGTTTTTACCTGCTAAATTTGAACTTCATAAATAATGTGGCACATGATCTTCATAGAGCCTAGTTAAATGTACTGTATATCGTGCTCACACACGACCATCTCTAGCAGCACTGATGTACCCATCTTGTGTCTGTGTGTGTGTATATATTGTAACTAGCTTGCGGTAAACTTGCTGAACCGGATCTAGATTTGGTTGCAGCTCAAGAATCTTCAATACACACACATACCTGTACCTGTATCTACATGTACACACTCGTGTATGTGTGTATGTGTTGGCAGATGTTGGGTGGGTGTGCGAGCGGGTGAAGACGTCTGCGAATTTAGTTGAAATTAAGTGAAAAGCGTTGACTATGTTTTGCTATCGCTGCGTTTGTTGCTTTTGCTGCGTTTCACGCCCGTTTGGCTTGGCACTTGTTGACATATTTGCTAGATTTTCACCAATTTTCACTTGAGCGCTAAGCGCAGGCGACAAAAATTGGTGGAGAGTAATTCTCTGGGCTTGTAGTAAGTACTTAGTTTGCAGCTGTAAATTGAAATGTTTTGTTTGCCTGTTTGCTTTGCGTTGATTCGCATTGCTTTGCTTTACTTTGTTGCTGCAATCGATTTCTAACCGAACTGAATTAGAGCATAAAGCGTGGGCCAACCGACGAAGAGACAGACAAACAGACAGGCCCACGCATGCTCAATTAAAATAAAACAAAAAATATTGCAGTTTTGTAATTTACAATTGCTTCTGTTACTTTTTGTTTTGTTTTTGCAATTGCAATCGCAGTTTGCAATGTGGGTGAAGTGTGTAGAGAGGAGAAGCTAAAGTTGGCTGTGCGTGAAGCATAGTGAAGTGAAGTGAAGTGAGCGGCACTGGCAATTAAGCATTAACAATCGCAATCGATATTATCTTTCGTTTTTATCGGAGCTGCAGTGGCCTTGCCAACTTAATGCTGCTGAATTGGCATTTGACAGCTGTTTGATTGCAAACGCTTTATATGCGTCTATTCAGATTTCGCTTTTGTTAATACACTCTGCCACTTTGATATATGAGGATGAATGGGTGGTTGGATGCGGCAACTGCGTCAGCAGAAACAGAAGTAGAAGCAGCGGCAACAGCATCAGCATCAGCAGCAACAACAACAACAGCATCAACGCTGTTACATTAATGCTAATGTGCGTGTAAACAAATAACGTCAGCAATAAAACATAAATTTAAAATTCGGATATCGGTACATGCGTAAAAATCGACCGCCAAATGATTTTTCCATTTCAGCATTTTCAGCAGAGCAGCGGTTCAAACGTAAATTTTAATTTGGTTACTGTAAACTTTGCGTTCGTGGCCAGCATACAATTATATACACATTTATTGTTGTAATTGTTTATGTGTAGCCGCTGCTGCTGTTGCTGTTGCTGTTACCTTTCTTTTGTTTATTTACATTTTAGGGCAGGCGCAGGCCGCCAAACCAGCAAGAGCAACGGCAAAATGATATCTCTACAAACAGACACATGCACACACACACACACACACACATGCACATTTATATAGACATGTATATACACAAACAAACACGCACACATTGAGCAATCGCAATCAGATTCGTTGCCGAATCAAACCAATGCGCGAAAATAGCGACTCTGCCACTGAAACTTTTTATAAATAGATACACACAGTAGACGCGCGTTTGAGACTTTGTATCAATTAACGTAAACGTAAAACGTAAGAGCAGCCCAACAGGTCCCCCACAAAACTATTGGCACTCAATTCAATCAGTTGGCACTTCATTTGGTTGCCGTTGTTGTTGTTGTTGCTGGTTGCTGCTAAGTGTTATTATTATTGCAGCAGACGAACGACGGCACCTACGACGTCATTGTTGCACGTTTTTGCAATATACTAGATAATCCTCAGCAATACCAATGCATATGTACATACATATATCCACGTATGTATCTGTCTAGTGTGCTAAATGCATAAGACCATGTGAGTTTGTTATTTCTGTAGACTTTTATTTGTAAATTTACCTGTTAGAAAAACAACAAACAACAAAACACAAACAAGACGCTGACGTCGTTGGTAGCTAAAAAAGTTTGACTGCAGTCAGGTGTGTGCGTATGTATGTGTGTGTGTGTGTATAAATGACCCAACCCCGCTTCTTGCCTGCTGCTCTCAATCTGTCTATCTATCTCTCTCTTTCCGTCTTGTGGCTCTGTCAATTGTTTCGGTTTCCTGTTAGCTTCAACTTGTTGCCTAGCCAAAGCTTTTTTCGCTTCGTTTTGAAGCTTTTTCGAACGCCTGTTGCGCTCATACGCCTGTCCCAAGGCAGAGCTTAAGAACTTTACCAAACCATTTGCTACGAAGTGTGAAGATTAGCGAATTCTCTTACAAATAAAATACTAATCAAATAAAATGAAAATTTTCTTTTATTGTTAAAAGTAGTTTAGTGCTTGAGTTGGACAATAAAAATAAAATCTTTTTAATGATGAGGCAAATCTGATTTCTGTCTATTGTCTAGGGTATTTAGACTTTGTGTCGCGGAAAAGATTTATTTTTAAATTTCTTTTTTTGGTTTCGACCTTTTCATATGCCAGCTGCCTGTCATATCATGCACACTGCCAAAGCTAATAGGATATTTACACAATTGCTGCCTGGTCGGTCGATTGGACTGTCYGTCTGTCCGGCTGTCCGGTTGCCCAGTTGCCTGTCTGTGACAATAGTTAGGCACAAACCTTCTTCTGCTGCTGGCGAATATCAATAAGTGCAAAAAGAATGCAAAAATTGCCCGCTTTTGTTGGGCTAGACAGGCGAAATGGCAACTGAGCAGAGACGGCTGTCTGGAATATAAGTGAAAAAAATAAAAAAAACGAGCTAAAGAAAAAGAAGGGACTGCGATTGAGACAGAGACGGCGACAGGGAAACAGTTTATAACAAAAGCCGCATTGTCCAATGCATTAACAAGAGGCGACGTGGACGTCTGTTTGGGTCTATTGCAATATCGACTGATGTTCACTTCCTGATTATTACATTATGTAGTCAGTCACGGACTGCACAGAATTGTGTTTTGTTTTGTTTTGTTTCGTTTCGTTCGATTTTGTTGTCGCCTCTACTCTTTACTGGGTTCTGTGTGCTAAAGTCGTCATAGTCATAGTTGTTGTAAAGGGCTTCGCCAATCGCAATAACAAATATAAAAAATAAATATTATATATCTGTATGTATATACATATAAGAAAAAATTGCTACCTCAGAGTTTCCATTTGGCCACGCTGCATAAATAAACTTAAACTGCCGCCAGAGTCAGTCAGTCAGTCAGTCAGTCGCCCAGTATAAACAACACATAATGCCCAATGCCCAAACAAAACCAATAAAAGTAAAATAAGCGAGTGCACAATATAAATATACATTCATATATAACGCATATAAACAGCGATCTCTTCCACAGTACATACAGTCACTAAATTGTGCGTCAGTAGAGCTCATCGAGTGCGTCGCGCGTTGTTCGCCTGGCCCTGTTTTGGCTTATTCATTCTCATTTTCATCATCATCATCATATTCATATTCACATTCTGTATCTGTCTCCATTTACCCTACTTCTCTGGGTCGCTCTTGGCTTGGGCTGCCTGTCTGGCTTGACTTTTCCATTGATTGCCCTGAACGCTGATCTCTTGGCGCGGTCATAACCAAACCATATGCCGGACTAATACTACGATATTAATCTTTGGACTCTATATAAAACTTTGCTCACATTATTATGTAAGTCAAATAAAAAATTAAATGGGTTTTGCAGCTGAGATTATAATTGTTAAATATATATACATATATCTAAGGCATGTGGATTATTAGTGTTAATTGTCTGCACTATAAAGCTAGAAGTTAGATCAGTCGACGATGCCTTATGTATTTCTATATAAATTTCTCTATAATTTATAGCTAATGCCATCTTAATTGATGCTTCTGCAACGTTTTGTGCCTTTTGACTTAATTAATTGCCAAATGAGAATCGCAGAGAAGCGTGCAAGTGAAGAGTAAACGGTATCCGTATGTCAAGTACGCTCGACTTTACCATTCTCATTTGTATCTTGTGCCTGGGCCATGTCAGTATCTGGCTGTCTGCACTTGTATATGTATATATACATATATATATAGGGTATATTTGTATAAGTGAGTAAATTTATATGTTGAAACCGCTTCATATTTTTTTATGATTATCGTGCGTTGCGTTTGCTGTTTTACTTGGCTCATTATTATGACGTATTGTATTTTTCATTCGTTTTTTGTTTTTTGTTACCGCCAACAACAAAAACAACAACAGCTAAATCTGCTGCTGCTGCGGTTCGCGTTTCGCATCTCTCATTTTTTTCTCCACTTATTTTTTTTTTTTTTTTTGCTAAATTAACACAAAGGCTTTTGGGCGTGGAGCCGCGTTGCCGCAGACGATGAGACGCAATCGAAGCCGCCGCAACGATGAATATTGATGCAGCTGCAGCTGATGCAGACTTTAAAGATATAACTGAGAATTTGAGGGAAAATAGCCCTTTAAATAGAGTGACTGACCAACTCTGCGGCTTACAGCAACTATGCGATTTGCTGTCCTTTGTTCTTGCTGTTTTAATTGTGACTCAAGCAATTCCTATGCACTATATGTAGACATATTACATTGACTCACTATTTGACTAATCTGCAGTGCGATCTAATTAATGTGCAAACATTTCTTTAATAAGAATTACGCCTGATTTCTTATTCTGGTTATATGCGGCATAGTATAAAGTTGTGATAAAGCCTGGTTGCTTCCGAGTTCAGCAGTTCAGCACTTCAGCTACTCTCAACTCTCAGTGCCCCGCCCTGCAGAGTTTGTTTATGGGTCTTATCAGCCGGTAGAGCTGGCATCTGAAGTCGCTCAAGTGGCACAAGAGTTGTGGGAATATCAAAACTGGTTTCTCTGTAGGGCACAAATACGTAACAATATATATATATAAAACATACATTCATTTATATGTGCATATACATATATCTCTGATAAATATAAAAGAAATTAAAAAAAAAAAAAAAAAGAAATGAAAGAAAGAAATAAAACAGTTACAACAACATTTAAAAAAGGCAAATCAAATGCGGCACTTGAAAAGGCAGACGAGTGCGAGAGAAATACAAACATTGTATTCGACTGCGGCTACGGCTGACATATTTCTTTTTTATGAATGAAAAAATACAATAATAATAATAAATGATTCATCTATAATGTGACGCAGCGTTGGCCTTAACAGTAGCACTTACACACACACGAGCACGCACGAATATACATATAAATATGTGTGTTAAGCATACGAAATACTATTTAGCATCCAATTCACAGAAATGCCTTTAAATATAGCCGGTTTCTTAAGCATTATGTAAAATCAGCGCTGTCTGGCTGGCAACACGGCGCATGCGTAACGCGTCTCGATCAGCGATTATATAAGGAGGCAGCTGGGTGCGTGTGCCCAAAATGCGGGTCTCTAATGTATCCCATTAATAATATGCATAAAGTCATGTGTAGAAACAATACAAACTTGAATTGGGTGTCTTTGAGAGAACTCGACTATGAAATGCCCTGAAGAAAAGGAGAGATTAATGGGCAGTGAGCCTTTCTATGCGATTTTCATATGAAAAAAACATAATAAATCATATTGAACGAAAAGAAAACATTGGGTCTCTTTGAAAGAATTTAATCAGAAATGCCCTAAAGAAAACGAAAGTTTGATTGGAGATAAAGTGAAGAGGTCGCCTTTCTATGCGATTTTCATTTTGAAGATTAATTAGATCACGTTAAATAGAGTGGATCTATATAGTTGATAGGAAAACTTAATTAAACTTAAGTTCATTGAGAGAACTTGACTTTCTGTGTAAATAAATCGAATACTCACGCGTAGTAGTCACCTCTGAAACTAATAAATATTTTAGATTTAGATTTTAGATGCTTTAAATAATTGTAACAGCTGTTCTAGGGACCACTCTTGATACTGTGCAACGCAGTCTGGGTATACCCATTTAATTGCAGTTTAACTATTTTTCACTTAATTTAAAGAATTTCGCGTCATCCATGTGAAATATGTGGAAACAGCTTTGAAACAGCTCGATTAATTCAAGCTGATTGTAAAATATAATAAAATTGTATAGTTAAATCAAAATCAAATAATTTAGAATAATTAAATCGATGGGGGACATTAATCATCCATTTGAGTTTACGTACGATACCCCGAAAAATAAAATACAAAAATAATAATTAATGCCTTATCGCGTCCATATCAAACGACAACGTAAACACTTGTTTCGTTAACCAATCGTTCAATTCTACTATTATATTGTTTTCGTTGTTGTTATTGCTGTTGTTGTTTTTCCAAACGGAATTCCTCGTAATTAATGCAATTAGTAAACAATTTGTACGCATTCCATTTACGAGTGTCGCCGAACAGCATAAAGTTGTAAACAAAAGCCAAGCCACATACATAGCCAGATACGTATTAATAATAATAGATAAGTTATCTATTATTTGGCTTAGATTGCTTTGATTTGATGGGTTCGAGTTCGAGTTCGAGGCATCACACGGCGTTGTCCTCCATATGAAGAAGTTGAAAAAGAATGGAGCTTAACGCACTCTTCGATAAGATTGGACCGTGGGCCATGTACAATATATTTATGGTATTACAGCGGCGGCACGTTTTCATTTTTTAATATTTAATTTTTTTGGGGTCTTGTTTGCTGCACTTCGGGTCGTTGATATCGTTGGGGGCCAGACCTAAAAAGTTCAAGCCATAGGCTAGGCGGCCATTGCTCGGGTTTGCTCTGTTTGCTTCTCTTTATTTGCGTGTTTTTTTTTTTTTTTTTTTTTTTTTTTTTTTTTTTTTTTTTTTTTTTTTTTTTGTGCTATGAGGAAACAGGTGAACGCGCTGATAGTTTAAAGATGAAGTAACTTTATAAAGCCTTGACCCACGATATGAGCACTACGCTGTTGGTAAACAATGTTTATCACTAATGCCCAGCCCGTTGATTAAAAGAGTTAACAAAAAATCTGTAAAATCTGCTGAGCTGAAACAGAAAGCAAAAAGTATTTAAGAAGACCGAGTCAGCCTGCTATCAAGCGACTTGGCTTACTGTAGAATCTATCATATACTGTTCGGAATTTGCTTAGTCTGCCGTAAGTTGTGTTTACAAATATCATAGAAATAAGAAGCCTGCGTCTTGGTTTCCAATAATCCAAATAAATAATTGGATGAACTTCTCGTTTACTGAGGACCTTTTGCCAAGTCATAATTTCTTTTTATACAAAAGTCTCATTTATTTACTTTTTTCTGTCTATAATTGGAGCTGCATTTGCTGGCGGCCTATTATTGTGCCTTATCAATGCATTTAACACCTTTAGAGTGTTACATTTGTTGTAGTTGTTGTTGTCGCTGTTGTCTTTGTGTTAGTGCGCTTTTCTTTCAGTCTGTCTGTTTGCTCATTGTATGGCAATTCACACCGGCAGCTTAATAGACGATGGCGGCCCCTGGAGCTTACTTCTTATATACCATGTATTATAGTATAATTCATTGTCAAGCGACGCGTCGGTTATGGACGTTGACTATGTGTTTGTATCTTCGAGTTTTCACTTTTTTATGGGAGCCGCAGATGCGAAGAGCAAAGAGCATTAATTGATTGGATGGCTGTGATAGTTGCTTAGTTCGCTTGGTTGGTCTCTAGGTTGTGTAACGAGCACGATAGACCGAAAGAGAGGCATAAAGAAAGACAGACAGACAGAGAGAGAGAGAGAGAGAGAGAGAGAGAAAGAGGGACTGAGAGAGGCAGACCAGTTTTGGTAGTTTGTTTGTCAGGTTTTCCAAGCCGCGCATGCCAAAATGAAAGTGTGAACAATTCAAGCAGCTGAATTTTAGTCTTCCTCTACCTCTGTCTAACGTCAACCCCCCGCCGGCACCCGCATACGCCCGCCTGCTGCACCCACCTGGATGGCTTTCTTCGATGGCCCTGGCTAGACAATGAGTCAGTGCACTGTGTAATAAAAACATGAGTAACAATTGCTGCCGCCACTGCCACCTAGATATGCATAGATAAGACGATCTTTATACGGGCTTCTGGCTTGACATTTACGCTTGCCTTCATTTCGCATTCAATGTACTCATTTCCTCTTTACCGCATTCCGCTTTTCTTACAGATTGTTTGCATCACTGCCCAAATATACGCAACATCTATTAGTTTTACTCTTTGGCACATTCCGCGTTATCGCCAGCAATGCGGCCCACGCATCCACGGGCATGACCAGCGAAGCTCTCGGCGTCTCGGTTGCGCCCAGTTTCTTTCAATCCTGCGTCAGCGATGGCAAAACCGCACGCATGGAGGATGTGCTCAAGTTTAAGGTGAGCTCCAAATACATAAAATACTTATAGTGATTATAATGTATACTAATCACTCTTCCATTTCAGGTGGCCACCAAGATCATGCAGCACATAATCGATAAGTTTGCCACTCACGATATCTTTGGGCGCGACAACTATGAATACTATGCCCGCGTCACGGGGCGCATTCTAAAGGTGCAGGACGAATGGATCTGCAGTTTCCAATATCCGCCGCCGCCACGCGGCAAATTGGCACAACAGAAATATGCATGTAAGTGGAGTGGGAAGAGGTGTCGGAGTAATGCCCGAGTTAAGATTAGGAATTACATTTGTTGTAGTTAGACTTACTTTACTGAATGAAACTATTTAGAATTGAAACTTTGTACTTAAGAACTTTAGCTGAATGGAATCATATATTTGCAAGTCTGTCTGCATAAGTTAGGATCTATAATCCATATTTGATTTCTAGAACCATACTCAATATAGAACTATTTAATATTGTCAATTCGTAAAATAAAGTCAGATAAATACGTGAGCAATATGTATATAATTATATATTATGAATACGGAATGCTTGTTCCATATAAGCAGTTAGACCTGTTTCTGAGTCGCAATACGATATGGAATATTTATAGTATCAAAAGCACCCACAATAAGTGAATACATATTATTAAGGCATATAGATTTTCATTGCATAAGAATTYAATTATTATAACAAAGGCAACTATGGTTTTTATAAAGTTTTAAATATATAAATTTAAAAATATATTTAATACAATATAATTATTA